CTTACCTTATAATCCAAGGTGGCCAAGCAATATAAGATTTTTAGTAAGTGTCATTGTTAGTAAAGCGGACACTAATGCTCGTACTAACTCGTAGATTGATCCGAGATCGAAGATTAATTCTGGGATTGACAGAAAACGTCACCAATAGTTGATATAATGGTAGATTCATGCGCAAATGACCGATTATAACTGGTTGTTTATTTAAGATCGTATTTGCTAATCTAGTTTCATGAATCCCGTCTTGATTCTTGACGGGCATAAGGGTCGGTTGTATAAAGCAGATTAAACCTCGTTTGGATTATATCAATGGGTTAAGATACCTAAGTAATTGGTTGAAGTTTGACAAAACGTCAAATTTTAACCATTCTTATACCTTAATCCAGTTGTTAACTACAAGCGAAGTTCAACCAGCCTTTATACAATCAGCCCTAGTTGTTGTTCGCTTTGTTTGACTAAATGTGAAATTTAAGAATCGCGATATTCATTAATCTTTTACCGTTCAACCACATGATATTACTATATTAAGCCTAATGACATCAAAATATAGATCAAAACTAATAAACCAGTAAAAGAAATTTCAAAATCCGGAAATAAATGACAAAAATATATTATTTAAGTTTAGGTATTCAGCGCGGAACGGCAGTGTCGGTGACGTCATTTTACGTAATTCCAGGAAATACGATTTCCCATATAAACAAAAATTTTTAAAGGCGATTCATAGGCGATACCACTCTTTTTTGATCGCATGCTCAAGACATGCTCTTAGCAAACTAGGTGAAGTGACGTCCCGAAATTATTATTCCAATCGCAACTTTAGTATTGTAACTTTGGGATTTGTGGAGTAATTTTATTGATTCTATCACATTTTTGTTTCATTTTACTTAAATTTTCATAATTAATTTATACCAAAAAGCTGGAAACTTCTCCATTGTCGACGATGTGGTCGCTGTCGGCGTAGTGTCCCTAGTATTTTTTTTCCGAATAGTCGGCGTTGTGGGCACGTTCGGCCTAGTGTCCCTTGCACACTTGTCGGCGATGTGGGCATGGTCGGCGTAGTGTCCCTTGTACACTTGTCGGCGATGTGGGCACGGTCGGCGTAGTGTCCGTCGGCGAAGTGGGCATGGTCGGCGTTGTGTCCCTTGTACACCTGTCGGCGATGTGGGCATGGTCGGCGTTGTGTCCCTTGTCCACTTGTCGGCGATGTGGGCATTGTCGGCGTAGTGTCCATCGGCGTAGTGTCCCTAGTCGGCGATATGGACCATCCAAAAATCGGGTCGGCGATGTGGGCATTCGGCGTAGTGTCCTAGACCCATGTGAGGCCATAGCAACTTTAGGATAAATTTTTCTTAAACTTACGATAACTTGACCTCACAGGCCACCTACTGACACCACAACTCATTGTGAACCAACCTTCAATTATTTGTAAAGTCATGTGTACCTGGTATTCTACTAATTTGATTTATATTTATTCAATACATAAATGAAGAAAATAAATAACGCAAACAACTACAAGAAATGTTCAAAGTGTCCTCCTTGACATTCTAAGCAATAACCTAATCGATTTCGTAATTAAATTGGACGGCGGTATTTTTAAAAATGTGACAGTTGTCAATTGTATCTACTACTCATTTGAACTACTTAATAGATTGATGTGTTTTTTTGTAAAATCGAACATAGGGAAATTACATTGCATGCAAACTCCTGTTCGCATTTAAAAAAATTCACTGTATATAGACAGTCATCATTCCAAATCGCGGCAAAACTTTGTCAAACGACAAAAACATTCATATTCATAATTTATGCACCTAAGCAAGACAAGAAATAAATCATTATGAATATTACTTAACGCCTGCAAGATGAGCAGGTGTAGCCATACAAAAGTCGAGCTAATAGGTATATAAGCACGCAGATGTGCTGATGTACAACAACAGAATTTAACCTACGTTAATTTAAGTATGATAGACGAGTCTACTGCTTTTGTAGTGTACTTAACCCCCACGTTCTACGCTAACTTCACACTACAAGAACACGGAAATAAAGTCAACCAGGCAACGTTTAAAAATGGCCACCCGAATGACTATTCCCTCCAAAACTAAACAAGATTCCGCTTAAATGGAAAAGTGGCACATGATGAAACATCTAAGGCAGGGCCCCCTTACGTTAGTTGTAGACAACGCTTTGACCAGAAGCACAATAGGGAAGGAACGTTAAATAAAACACTGAAATTGTGAAAAGTTTGTTTAATAATGATCGTAATTATTATGATTGTGAAAACCCGGAAATTTAGTTGATGTACGTTAATGTAAGCAAAGCCAGAAGGGTATCGTACTCTCGCAAAAGTCACTGCCAAGGGTAAAAAGAGTACGACGAAGAAAAACCTTGCAGTTTGATTAAAACAGTCCAAAAGTTAATTAACAAAATATTTTGTAAAAGTTTAAGCAGTAATTAACAAAGATAGTAAATGCATATACACAAGTTTGGTTACGCTCAAGGTTAAAGCAAGTTTTTGGGGACAATGGGTGAGGTAGCAGCAGGTACCAAGATTCTGAGAAAGGGTGAAATACACAGGATGTGACTCATCTTTGGTGCAATAAAGTCCTTTTGTTGAAAGCAAGATGGAAAATTACACGGCCTTATAGGCAAATTTGACTAAAAACAAGATATGTGAAATTATTGAATCGCGACTCATTTAACGCACATAGATTCTAAACTGAAGAGCTTTGATTAGCGTAATCTCGCTCCTGCAAGATGGGTAGTCCGCCCCTGGTTTCGAACCTATACAGTTGGATGTCGAAGACAATCACGGAATTAGGTGTCGTACTTCAATGTTGACTACAGTTTTTTTTACAAAATTGTTAGTAACAAACAACAAGTCAGTACAAACCTCAAACGAATCGGTAATTTCCACATAATAAAATAAAATGAACCAAACTTATATGAATGTAACATCAGGGACAAGACCAAGTAATCAACATCAATAAACATAAATTAAGCAAACATTACACCAAAAACGTAAACAATTACAAACAATAGCATAACGGTATCACACATATGATTCTGCATTGCGGTTAAATCAAGTAAATTTCAAAAACAAAGATTGAAGCACACAAAAAAATATAAAATGCGGCATACAAAACACAAATACGATATAAAGAAATGCAAAAATTACTACCTGCATTAATTAACACAAAATAACAACAAACATTTATGGGGCGACGCGTTCAAGACCGCCATTCAAGACAAGATGCCAAACGTAACTCCCGTTCGTGCTTTCCAGGTGGCGCAGGCAGCTTTTTCCCACCTAGAAATTGCATGGTTGCCAACTCTCAAAAATGTATGTATCATCGTAAGTTGTATATACAGGGTGGAACCTCTCACTTTCTACGAGATCTCAGACCGCAAGTGTACAACTTTCAACTGATCCTTCTTTCGCTAAAGTTTTAACTTCAGTTAATAGAGTACTATCATAGACGAATGGTACTTGATGAATATTTGGATTGTGGAATGAATTAACTATATGTATAATGCTTGCCAGGAGAATGTCTGTCACAGAACACCTGATCCCCGGTCTACAATCATACCTTTTTCAATTAAACCATGCAATTGTAGACCGGCATTGTCTCCTGGCGAGTCTAATATATTTCCATCAGGGATATAAGTATTTTGATATGATATTGATAGATGTAGATATTGTACGGAGCCTACAGTGAGCATACCAACAAACATGTCTTAAAGGGGCAGTATACCCAAATTTCATGTTTTCGTCTAAAGATAGATTAAAAATATCTAAGAGTAACGGTGAAAACCGCAAGTCGCTACGTCGTTTCGTTATTAAATGGTAAGGTGTCGAATGTAAAAAACGGTCGTTGTGACGTCATCCCGACAAATGGGTCGGTGGCGCGCTATAGCAATATATGGATTCGATGACGTTTGACGTGTTAATTTGAGACTGGTAGTCTGTGATCTGCATTATTTTCAAAAATGCCTAACTTTGTGTTTTCCCCTGCAATAATAATTTGAAAAATGCCAATGTTCCATTGCAAATTTTCCCCTAGAAAAGAAGGAGCCGTGTCGAAATAAAGTCTGGAAAATTAGAAAAAACCGCTGAATCATAGTATAGTCACGTCGTTTGCAGTGTCCACTTTAAAGATGATAATTTTTTTTGGAAGATACAAGAAGGAAAGGACCCTGTACCTCAGCATAAGGTTTAGAGAAGGTTAACATAACTGCAATCCCTTCTTTATTACATCTCACAGGAAACAAAGGTCCTAATAAAGCTACAAAACGCCAGTCAACTTATCTAAGAAAGTAAAATTGTGCCCGATTGCTTATTGTGGGTAAACGATCAATTTCGTAGTGGAGAAACCAGTTCAACATCAAACAGAAGAACTGAATCAAATGGTACCAATAACGCTTACTGAAAACATAGGTACCTATCCAATCTGAGCTGGGTACAGAAATTGATTACAAATATTCAAATTTATATGAGGATATATGTTCGGATGATACTTCAGTAAGGTTTTCTCGTTTTTTCAAAGGAAAGCGAACTAGAATATGAAAGAACTGACGCGTTTGGACTGCTTGGATCCGTGCCGCCGCACCTACGATGTCGGGATGACGTCACATGTTCTGTCTTTCAAACTTTCATCGTTAATAATTTGAAAACTACTCATCGTAGAAAACTCCGGTTTGATGTTTGTTCTTAGATTTTCTTCTACAATTTTTTTGATTTTGGGTATACTACCCCTTTAAGCTTTCGACAAAAATAGACGATTTTTAATCTTTCTACGTAACTTTTGTTACTCAAATTTAACGAAAATCACCTTTCACAGTGCACTACATAATATATTTAAAAAATGCATCTTCAGTTAATTTTATTCTTAGAAAACCCAACATAAATAATGATTTATACATATTTAAATAACAATAAACTAAATGAAGTGCTAACAATATCAACGGTTTTAGAGAACAGAGTGGAAGTTTTTTAATCACAAACCAAAAAAACAACTAAACTCCTATTCTGAATACAAAACAAAAATATGTTACCCGTGTTTTTTTAAATATATATCTTAATATAAAATATACACAAAAAAAAGATGTACTTATTACATTTGAGTTGGAACTAACTTGTATAACAATTGTAAGATTGAGCATTTACAAATCTATTTATCTATATACCTATCTTAGTTAAGTGGAGCTGGGAAAATAAAGCCTTGAGGGCTGACATTAGAAGGAAACCAGGATATAGGTGGAGTTTGAGGAGAATATATGTAAGGTGTGGTTAAGTACTGAACATCAGGCGATGTGTACACTGAAAGAGGTGAAGGTAATGGGGCCGGAGGACGCGGCGCAACTGTCGGATACGTAGGAGGATGAGAAGGATAAGAATAATAGACTGGTGCAGTATGTGGCTGGACAGGACACATGTAGGAGTAAGGATCCACTGTTGGAGTTACTGGGTTGCTACAAACGATTCTATCATTTATAAAAGGGTTAAGTGGTACTATAGTTGGCGAAGGCGTACTAATTGGCGGTGTCAACAAAGCAGATGGTGTTGTATAAGGGTTATCCATTTGATAATAAACAACATTCTGCGTACATCGGTCAGAATTTGGTGACACATTTTCGGTCTGGTTGAAAATTACACCTGGATCGGACGGTTGTGTATAGGATGGTGGAATCCATACAGGTACTTGAATGTGTAAATTTGGCTCGTAGTTATAATAGAAGTTATTGTCGCCCTGGGTAGTTTCTAAAAATGAAATCTAAGTGTTACACTAGTGATATAAGCAGCATATTCAAACTGGTGCAATAATTACTATTCCAACTTTTGTTGGGGAAGGTCAAGGACGGATTTAGATTTGGATTATATGGAAGAGGTAAAACTTCTAGGTAGGGCGCGTAAGACGAAATCACATGAAGAAGTGGTATTAAAAAAAAAACAAATTTAATCCCGTAGTACAAACAGTGCCCAGATTAAAGCGATTTTTAGCGCATTTTGACAAAAATAAAAAATGCCCTATTGTGGCCACTTTGTCCGTCCGTCCGCTCGTTCGTTGAGACGCTACTAGTTCTTTATCTTAAGAGCTATTGTTCTACTTTTTTCGCTATTTGGTTCGTTATGGTGTCGAGGCTTGCACCAAAGAAGGCATTTTTTCTGCGTTTATTACTAAAAGTTATTGTAAAAAAACAAAAAAAAACGTTTTTTACATGTTCCATAATTTTACACTTTTGCCGTTTATTAACGATCATAGAGATCGTTTATAATTTTGTATTGCTGTCTGTCTGTTGGTCTGTCCGTCTGTTCCTTTGTCTGTCTGTCCCTCTATCTGTCCGTGTGAACGATAACTTTGTTTAGAAATGTCAGATCGCTTTGATGTCTCAGTTAGTTAACTGAATTGCATGAATGAACTGAATTGCATGAATGAACTGAATTGCATGAAATTCAATATGGGCATAGTTTAGCCATATAATACGCAATGCCAAAAGTTGAGTCGAATCGATTCAAAATTCACAGTGCCCTTTTCGCATCTCGAACATTTATGAACCGAATTGCGAACTTTTTTATTTATCTATAAAAGTATTTAAATGAAATTTGGTACATAGGCACTTGGAATAAAGGGAAATCTAACGCCTGTTTCAAAATTTGGTTTTGCGCATTTATGGAAGCATATTTAAATGAAATTTGATACATAGGCGCTTGGAACAAAGGAAAATCTAACGTTAGTTTCAAAATTTAGATTTGCGCATGAGCAGTTTCAACTTTCTTATTTAGAAAAGCATTGAAGTGAAATTCTTCTTATATAAACTGAAATTGAAGTAGCACGTCAAAAATGGATTGCAGCGCTATTTTTCATATTTGTGACCGGATTTTTACGATTTTAACAGAAGTTGCATCTTACAAATGGGAAATGAATGCAAATGGAAATGCGCTTTTTGTAAATCGTTTACGTTCAGATTTTGATTAATTAAGTCAACCCTCCAGCGAGGCTGGAGACATTCCTTAGAATTTAAAATGAAATACCCATTTTTAAAGTTGTTCAATTACTTCTTCAAATACTTATACCAGATAAAATACCCAATTTATCTGTGCTTATACGTTATACCTACTTGACCTTTGTATTCAAGATTTCCATGAAAAGAGGCTTATAAGTATTAAGTTACTAACTATATTTAGGAATAAATTTGAAAAAAATACATATCTTGTTGAATTAGATATTTAGAAAGCAGGCCGCAGGGAATTGTAAAATTTGATAAGAAACAGTATCACAGCATGTGGACAAACTTATGACCGTTTGCACGAACAAAGTTAAGCGTAGCTTAAAACTCATGGCAAGTTGTATCTGCGCGTTTGTAATTATAGGTACCTAATTCATAGGAAGGCTATTACCCCCAATACTTTTGTTGTAAATCCGCCCTTGGAAGGTATTGTAAAATGTGGATACTGAACGTTAATTTTCAATGAAACCACTCAATTTAAAAATAGTATATTAAGATACAAGTGTATAATCAAGTCTTTAACGCACGCGCAACGAGTTTAAGGGCACGACGCAAAGCGGAGTGCCTTTAACGTTGCAAGTGCTTTAAAGACCAATTATACACGTGTATCTTATAGTATTTTTTTGCGCGATCGGTCATTTCTGACTATTTACCATGGGTGTTTCCATGACAGTACGTAGAATTTACCAGTTGCTATGATTACGACGACGCCAAAATTACTTACCGATCTAAAAACAGAACAGCAAAAATACTTACCGACGCCTTTTTAAAAATCAACAGTCTTACATTACATTTAATCTTTAATTATTGTTAGGTACATTAAACGTACAATTTGTGCTGTTGTTTCCTATAGCAAGACGCTCATAAAGTCATAAAGGAAGTGCAAAGCTAGTAAACTACATCAGACACATGCACATTTTTATGAAATTATTAATTTCAATTTTGACATTTAAACTGGTTACCTAGTGATGTACACCATACTACTTCGATTATTTCGATTTATTCTGCTCGTTAATTTCTTAGTGCATATTTATATTGGTTGGGTAATTTTAATTTCGATCGCGCAAAAAATGTTATAAGCACGTCGAACGTTAAGGGTTACCGTTCTCAGACAATAATTGGAGTCGTCGCTTCGCTCCTCCTCCAAACAATTGTCTTCGAACGGTAAAAATCCCTTACCGTTCTCCATACTTAATATACTATTTATTATACCTGCAGTATAATTTAAAAATAGGAAATTCAATGAAATCATATTGACGTTACACTCGAATACATGTCTAATTAAGTGGGCTGGGTGTTCGTAATTTCACGATTGCCATGGAAATGTCACTTGACGTTTGCTTATAAAAATCGTCGTCTTTGTGAATAAAACGATTTCCGTTGAAAAAGATAATACACCGTCGATTAAATCGCTTGTTGTAAAATCTAAACAAACGTTGGTAGGTGTAAAATCTCAATCCAGTAAAGCCTATTATCAAGCATATGAAAAGTTGTTTCCATAGATGAATAGGAAGTTACTTACGAATTAAGTCTTAAATGCATCGATAATGCTAGTATATATGAAGGAAATGTCAAAGGTATTTAAATCTTTGATCTTTTGGTGCATTCATTCAAAACTTCACTTATTGCTGGGACTAAAAAGTTGACCAGATTTGGAAGCATACCCTAAATTACGCGCGTTTGTAAAAGCTTCAACCAAAGGATAGGTACAAGCCAAAGAAATGTTCTGCATTTACAGAAAGCGACTTAGGAAGATTTTTTATTTCACCCAGATGACAGTTTCAAAAGTCATGCTTGAAGTATCGTTACTTAGCAACTTTAAAGCACGTGTGTTTTAAAGGCCTTTTTTCGCACGCATTTGAGTGTTTAAAACGGAGATTGTGATTCAGGTATAATAAAATAGTACATTATATATCAAGGTAGAGAAGTCCACTATTATTGCCTGAGCACCAAGATTACATCTCGAGGCGCTTGCGCCGAGGGGTGTAAGGTGCGAAGGCAATAATAGACTTCTCTACCGTGGTATATATACTATTTTTTTCACTACTAGCACTTGAAATCCTCTAAATTAACATATTATATTGATAAGAGAGTTAACGGTTGGACAGAATTGTTTGTTTCTTAATTTAACATGTCAATCAAGTACGTGGAAGTACAAGTCAAACAGGCCGTATTTTGTTCTGTCATTGAGATTTTTCAAAGAGTAATTTCGTTCGAATTTTTTCAAAATGTGATAATTTTAGGTATGTAATTTCTCTGGAAATTGCGAATGGTGGCAATTATTCGTTTTAGAGAACTTGTCTAAACGTTCATTGAGCGAAATTTCGGGTTGTGTTTTCTAAAAGTGACAGCGTGACAGTTCTCATTATTGACTACTAGTTAATAATAAAAAATTATTAACCACTTTGAACAAATGCCGAGAAAGCCTACTTTACAAGTGGAAAAAAGGTTAATAATCATGTCATCAGACGCTAGTAGTGAAAAAAAAAGTTTTCATATGATCATTGCGTTGAAACACTTGAAACTCACCTTGCTCGGCGGTAGGAGATTTATTCAAGCTGCTAAATCCATTCTCAGGTGTACATGTAGTGGATTGTTCCAACCACGGCAAAGATATGGGCTCCAATCGCCTTAAATTATTGCTCTGGTTCCAATTTTGATTCTCATCAACGCCAGCGTTATTGCAATTATTTGTTATCTTTAGAGTTAGATGCCTCTCCGATGCGTTTACTTCACTTGTTTCCTATATCGACATAGTTTTAGCAAAAATTTTAATAACTAAGTACTTACAAGATTACAACCCTGATAATCCAATGTTTTTGTATCATTTGCAGTATCCATTGTAGTTTTTGTAATAGCACGAGGCTTATCCCTGCGTTTTTTTAAGCTCATCTCACTTTGATATTTAATCAGCTCAGTAGACCCCTGAGGTAACTTCCTTATAAAACGAAAAGGCAAAGGCCATGGCTTAGCATTATCTTCAGGTTTTAGATCTGAGTAATTTACTGTCTTGCGTTGAGCTAAGGTTGTGATGTAGACTATGCATTGATTATTTTTTATTTCCTGTATATAACAGGGTTCCGACACACCATTTATATCAACAATGCAACGAGTGCCTAATATCAGTTTATCATCACCATAATACCAGTCTCCCAGGCGCATAGCTACAAATAATTGTTTTATATTAGATATTAGTGTAGGTGTAGTCTCAAAATAAGTCGTGCAAATGAGTCTAGGGTCCTATGAGTTATGACATATACGGGGTGTTTCTTTTTGGGAGCTTTAGTTAAATGTTTCTGGGACAGTAAAATACGTAGGTTTTTGAAAATTTGTATTTACGAGTTACTCTGAAGGCCGAATCGATGTAAAATATTTTCAAAATGGCCGCATTTCCGGAAACACCGGAAGTAGATAGTAACTTCGTTATTTTAAATGGCAACCTCTATTTTTTATTGCATTTTTGGATTCTGCGTGAAATTTCAGTTGTTTTGATACCCATATGTTGATACCTGCCATTTATGGTTTTTAAGTTATTTTGACTTTATGAAAAATACCTAATGGCGGATGCAGATGGTACCTTGATAATTGATTACTTGAAAACGGTTATAGTCATGGCAACCCATTTTTATCAATGCATAGAGGATGAATAGGGCTTTCTTTTAGTGTACTTAAAAAAAAGTTAAGTTGCGTACAATTGCACCCATGGAGATCCAAATTTAAGAAACTTCAAAGTCTATAAACTCAGTTTTTTGAAATGGAATGACCATGTTCTTACTATTGCATGATAGACAATCGAAATTGGCATATTTTGATATTACATGTTCCTATAGCTATCTTTAACAGTTCCTGATTTATTCCCATTTCATTGAATTGATCTCGGAATTGATGCCATTTTTTTCGCATTTTCTTTAAAGTAGTTGGCCATGATTTTGTAACAATCGAATTTTAAACAAATCAAGGAATGGATTCTTTAATATCATTGATTCTAGTCTAAATAATTCATTAATAAATAAGTCATTTATTAAGGATATAGGACGGAAAATTTTTTGAGAAATCTAGACAGTCTTTCAACTGAATTTCTTAAACAATGTATAGGTAAGTCTGGAAATTCAGAGAGGTAATGCGATATCTGTTCTAGCAACAATTCCATACCAAAAATGTTTCAACGAAGTTTTTTATATTTTGCATTGAATTTATTTTGCTAATCTTGCATTTGCAATTCAATTCATTTTCTTAAATATTCTCTTGTAGAGCTTTGTATCACTTGTGCTTCAACAGTTTGTAGTGCATTTGGGGGTATTACGTCTCAATGCGCGAAATCGAACTTCGCGCTCTTGTTATATAAATAACTATACAATAACAAGACGCAAGGTTTTTAAGGGCTGCAGCATATACCGTATAATAATGGATATGTAACCTAAATTTTAGCATTGTATTGAACAGTATATTGTCGAAGGGTCATCAAATCGATAAAGGATTAGTCACCGGCAATAAGGAATGAAAGCGGATGTGGATCTTCACTATTCAAAATGAAAGTACCTAGGTACATAAAATTACGAACGTGATTTTAGATTGAATTAAATTCAAAGTCCAAACAAACTAAAATAAAAATGGCAAAAAATGCATGGTAAAAGAAGATTATATCAAGAAATAATAAATAAATTTCTAACTTTGTTTATTTAACAAAATTTCAATTTAAAATATAGGTACCTCGTATATTACCTGATATCCTTAAATCGGGAATTAATTAGTCAAAGTATTAGATCGACAGTTATTTATGTACTCTGTTCATCAAGAAAGAAAGTTAAATAAAAATTAAAAAATGTACAAAGTGATAAGTAATTGACAATAATTTATGAGGCAGTGAAGCAAGAGACATTACCTCTGCGAACTTCCAACCATGTATCATACTCAATATTCCTATACATATTTGGATCCAATGCTTTTGCAACCTTGAAGGGAAAAGGCGCTACTATACAAGGCTGAGGTACACTTGCTAATGCCAATTTATCATCTGAATCCACCTCTTCTTCTTCTTCAAAGCATTCTTCCTTTACCGATACATCATTATCACAATTAAACACAGTATACACTGCCTGTTTTTCATGAAGCATTGCATTCACAATGGATGATACATTCGGAATTTCAAATACAGATTCATAAAGTAAATTGTACATGATTGCTACAAAAGTAATACATGTGTTAGTGGTTAGAATACGCTATATATTTAACACTTACATTGGCAAAATCCTGCATCAGTTATATGCTGCTTTGTATAGACAGAGTCATAATGGTCTTCGTTCATTTTACACAGTCGTATAGTATCTGTACCTGCGCTACTACAATTACATTGAAATTCGGTTACACTGTGATCATTTGCATTAAGGACGGATATATTAATTCTACAAAACACATGGTATGGTTACTTAAACACAAACAATTACCTTACCTGTAAGTGTTGCAAATTAACTGAATTTCCACATCGGAACAAATTTGCATATGAAGATCCAACTTTATCAATCGATTCCAACAATCTCGTTTGCTGATGAAGTATGCGCCCAAATCTTCCATATGTTTTTTGCCATATATGATACACTCTTTCCTAACTTTCTCATGATACAACTGAGATGTAAACAACTAAAAAATGATCATTCACTTTATTTTATTGACCTTTAAATGGACACCAACTTAACATAAAAAGTTTCCATGCAATTATAATTTTTTTTTCAATTAAGAAACATGTAGGGTTAAATCCCTACATTTGAAGAAAAGGTAAACACATCTCTGTGGTATGCTCACGATTTCTTTCAAATAGCCTGCTTTAGACGAGCACTCTTTCCTGCGCGAAAGGCTTGCGTGCGCGAAATCGCACGCGAAAGATTGTCCATGTAAAGACAAAACTGTCGCTAGGGAAAGAACGGAGGAATACTTGCAGGCTTTCCGCCTCGATTTCACGCGCGCCGATTTGTTCATGTAAAGGCAAAACTGTCGCTGGGGAAAGAAGGAAGGATTACGTCCGGGCTTGCGCCGCGCGCCTCGGTTGTTTTGGCTGTGTTGCAGTGTTGGTCCTGTCGGTACAACTGTACAAAATTGAGTACAGTTGCTCATAAAAAAAATACGTCACTGCAATCCATTCATAATTAAGTAACAAAGTACATGCTGCTTTAATCACCCAAAACATATAATCTTAAGGGAAAAATAGAGATCACCATAGTAATTTTAGGTGATGTAAAACAAAAAACTGTCGGTGTTCATGTTGCTTGTTGCTAGTTGGGAGATCCGCAATGTTTTAACCAGATGCATTGGATTGGTAAAAATTAACCTGGAAACCTAGATGATGAAGTTACCTTGCTCGAAACAACACTGACAATTTTGTACTTGAAACCCATTTTTGTATCAACAAGACAGGCAGTCCATTGCAGACTACATTGCGGATTTGCGTCGCGATATTTCCAATTGTGCCTTTGTGTGTCACGCAGAAAGTATTGTGGAAATATTTTTGCGTGCCCAACTCATTCGGGGCATACGGGACTATGCTATCCAGGAACAAATGTTGCAATTGGATGATGAAAAATCGAAATTCGACGACATCGTGAAAAAGACAGTTGCACTTGAGGCGTCTAAAATAGCCGTGAAATTTCTAACCGTCAACCAACTTTATCAGTATCTCTTAGTAGAGGAAACGACAAACAAAATTGGACAACCCAGATCGCATGCCCAAAATCCATCCACCAACCATGACAATCGAATCAGGTCTTCAAATAATTCATCTACCAATACACAAAGTTCGTCTCGAGATTCGCGTTCAAAATCACCGTCTCGACTCAATTACCAGCACCTAGGACTCGACAACCACAGTCTCCGTTGTTCTTTTAAGCACCCTACCAAAGATTGCCGTGCTGATATATCAAAACTCCGGTGCGATTCTTGTAAACGAAAGGGGTCAGCCGTTTGTATTTCAACTCTCATGCAAAAGAAAACCAAGAAGAAAAGATCTGTAACTCAAAACACAAATTTTGTCAACATAAACTCTTTTCATGACTTGAGTGCCATCAACCAAATTATCGACATCTCCGAAAAATCCAGCCCTGGTCAAGACACAAAAAAATATTTTGTTGAATCATTGAGGGTAAACCGCAAACCTTCGAAGTGGATTCTGGCGCCGGTATGACGCTCCTCCCGAAACCAGATTTTCAAAAACTGAATTTCAATAAAGCATTACTCAGGCCGACTCATGTTCAATTTCGTTCCTAAACCTCAAGAAAGAGTTCTCTTGGACCTGCATCGAACACATGTGGACGTCGTAAAAATTAAACAGCTGGCAAGATACCATTGCTTCTGGAACAACATCGACAAAGATATAGAAGCAATGGTAAAAAACTGCCAGGAATGCGCACTATCCCAGAAAAGTCCAGCTAATCAGCTAATGTTTCTCTCCATCATTGGGACAATACGCAGCATAATTTTGAACGCGTCCATATTGAATATGCTGGGCCGTTTTTGAATGACCATTTTCGAGTCCTTGTCGATTCCAAGTCAAAATGGGCATAATTAAAAACGCCCCGACGACTGCAACCACCATAGAGCTGCTATTGGACATTTTTTGCACTCATGGATTCCCTGAAATCATGGTATCAGATAATGCGACAATTTTTCAGCCTTCAAAATCTTCTGTCTGAACAATGGCATATTTTGCAAAAGTTTATAGCGCCAGGACATCCTGCAATTAACGAGTTGGCCGAACGCTATATACAAACCTTGAAATCAAAACTGAGGTGTGACCTAACCAGGTTCTATTCAAAACAAGGTCCGTGAAATATTATTTAGGTACAAAGCCACTCCTCTCCAGAATGGCAAAACTCCAGCCGAATTGTATTTGAATAGAAACATTAGGTGCCAGCTCGACGTCTTCAAGCCTCCTACATTCAAAGTCCAAAAACGAGTACAATTCGACCTGCCACCATCACGGTACTTCAGAATTGGGGACAGGGTAGGTACTAGCAAGATGGTATTCGAACAACAAGAATACTTGGAAATTTGGTTCGATCATCAAAAAATTCGGACATCTCCACTACCAAGCTGAACTTAATAATGGTTACCGGCTGAAACTACACACAAACCAGTTGAGAAAAACCAACGTCGATATATATCTCAACCGTCAGAAACCCATGCAATCTCCACAAACTACTTCAGATTCGGAATCACCTGAAATTGACCACCACCACGAAAAAATGGCGTCCCTGCTCCTACCAGCCACCCCTGGATCGGACGTCATTCCTGATGTCGAAATTGAACCTTCAGAAATTGGACAATCTCCAACATCCGTCTGACGATCTACTGAACCTCGCCGTCCTCCAGAACGTTTTAGAGACTATGTCATATGATTCAAACAGTTGTCACAACTCTTAAGCGCGGTTTAGACGCTACGATAAATTGTAACAATTTATCGTAACGATCGAATCGTTACGATTTATCGTTGCGTGTGAACAGAGGATTGTAGCGATTTATTGGAATTGGAATTGGATTCGATGGTTGATGGCGACCGGCTTCAATTTCTGCGAATCGTAGCGATAAATTGGAACGTGTAAATAATATCAGCGATTTATCGCTACGATTTGTGACTAATGTTGCCGAAGTGAACCATTTTTGTATCCATTTGGGCTACTTGAACTGTTCTCTAGCGCACACGTTTTACATTTGGCGAGTGGCGATCAAGTTTGGCCACCCCAAAAAAATATTTAGCGACACATGGCTACTCATAAATCATAATCGAGATTAAGATTCTATTATAAGCAATAAAATGCGAGTATAATTTATATTAGTGGACAGAACCAAAAGACAAGTTGAAAAGTAAAAAATAAAAACTGTATTAAACCGTGATCGACAATGAGATTGGAACAAGAAATCGATACATGTAAACAGTACGCACTCTTTCGATTTATTGAACGATAAATTGGACAATCAGATCGTTACGATTTATCGAAACCAAGATCGTAGCGTCTAAACCGCGCTTTACTTTTTAAATTTATAATTACTGTCATAATTTTGTGGGGGGAGACCTTAGACCATATAGTACATGGACTGCTAATTGTAACTAAAATATGGTCAAGGACATCGCCTGGGTATGTGAGTTTCAGGGTAAACGAGTCTGTCCGAAGTTGTCCGATGAGACACGATTTGAGACTGTCAACCTATAAATTAACAAACGTCAATTAATTAATCGCCTAGATATCCCAAAAAAAGCAAACTTATTCTTATTTGTGGACGTATAGCAAATAATGAAGAGCATTTAAAGCTTCCCGTACTACGCGGTTACTATAAAGCTGCTCTTTAAGCGATCCTATTGGTGTTTACACGACTTTAGTTTACCCTGAGATTCACATACCCACGACTACAGTGCCCTCTATCCGTGACCATCCATTTTGTATTGAAAGCATAGGGCGAATAGCAGTCCATGTACTATATGGTCTAAGGGGGAGACTATTAGGGGACTATTATGTTCTCAATTTAAAATGGAATAAAGTCGAAAAATCTAGCGCGCTGTTGCTAGGAAAAAAAGGGACTGTCAATTATTATTTTTTAGTTAGTTAACCATTGCTTTTCATTTAGAATATTAATCTTCGATATAAGGATATACTTGTGCGTTACGATTAATTAAAGTTCTAGTCCAGTCATTATATGCTTTATCTAATTTAATAATTTAATGGTCTACTTAGGTACACTAAGGATCAAATGATTGAAGTTACTTTCATATTTGCACATCATTTCACAAAACTCCATTTTATACTAATATAATTTTAGTGCAAATTAACTGTGCTTAAAATAATCACAATTTTAGCCATATTAAAATAGTAAACCTGAATGTCATTTTATTTACACTGATGAGTGATGAATACGAGCCCTAACACATAAATGTTCGGACATCTAGCATTTTTAAAACAGAACCGGGAAAAAAATAAATCCAGGTCAGAAATTAACTGACACATATATGTTCGGACACCACATATATTTGAAAGTTTGATCTAGATAGGTAACACAAGAAAAACAAAAAATAATAACTTTTATAACCTGTCAATACACTTTGACTTTTTGTTAAAAGAAAAAATGACACGTGGCAAAGAAACACGGAAAGAAATTAGACCATTAATAGTAAAATGGTTTCATAAGGGAAAAATCCTTTAAGACAATAGGTCAGGAATTCAATTTGTCCATGTCCACGGTGGCAGAAAATTGTAACAAAGTACCTATGGGAAAACAGCATCAATCGAAGTTGCAGGAAACAACACAGGAAGACGGCCAATAGTTACCCCTAGAATGCAGAGAGCGCTGATAACAATTTGCAAATCTGAACGAAGCACAGTACAGAATCTTACGGTAACATGGAACGAAGTAACAAATGCTCATCTTTCTCGCTAAACCTGTCATAGGTGGATCCATAAATCAAGATTACATTTTTATAAAGTAAGTGGATCTTTAGATTAAAATTAGTGAGCCTTAGAAAATACTTTTTTAAAGAGGCGAAAGAAAAACATTTTTAAAACAGAAAAACAATAGGTTGGCTTGGGCTCGGGAACGGCAGGCGTGGTCTTACCAAGACTGGAAAAAAGCCATTTTTAGTGATGAACTCGATTTGATATCAGTGTAGGCGATAATCGAGAAAGAGTTATCAGAACGGAAAACAAAGCATTTCACAAAGATTGCTTAAAGCGGTCTGTAAAATTCCCCAGTGGTGTAACGGTGTGGGGCAGTATGTCGGCAAACGGCCTGGGACAAGTTGATTGCGTTCACTTGCGACATTTTCACCTGATGCAGACTTTGTTTTTCCACAAGACGGAGCATCATGTCACAGCAAAAAACGACTAAGAAATGATTACAAGACCACAATAATAGTGTTTTAGAGGCGCCCTCATGCAGTCCAGATCTCACTGTCATTGAGACAGTGTGCCATAAAATAAAGCAACGTTTGAGTATTCATCCGCAACGCAATATTGCTTCTTTGAGTGAAAAATGACAAGAGATTTGGGGTACCTTTGGCACCGATTAATGTAAAGCTCTTGTGACGACCATGTCTACACGAATCAAGGCTGTTATTAAAGCCAAAGGGGATGTAACTCATTATTAAGGGGTGGTGTCCGAACATTTTTGTGTCCCTTTAAATTCTAATTTGATGGTGTTTTGTGTTATTTGACATTTGTAATTAATTAATTTTGCAACAAAATATAAAATGACAGTTACTACTATAAATATGTTTAATTTATAGCTATAGCACAGATCTACACATACACAGATTGCTAACCTTATGCATTTTTTGGGAAACAAATTTAGGTATACTTAAAAGCGCCCTCTATGGCGGAGCAGTATAAACATGTAACGTTTAAAACTGTAATATGACGCTTATGGATTTATGCGTTAGATGTCGTTGAAACAAAATTAGTTAAACAATAACACACTGAAACAACTAGTCCGAAACAAATCACAAAATAAATTCACCGATTACAAATATCAAATGCTAAAAATAACGAGTAACGAATTCGAATTATGCACACTTTACCGCTTCAAATTGTTTGCAGCGACATCTAACGCATAAATCCATAAGCGTCATATTACAGTTTTAAACGGTACATGTTTATACTGCTCCGCAATAGAGGGCGCTTTTAAGTATACCTAAATTTGTTTCCCAAAAAATGCATAAGGTTAGCAATCTGTGTATGTGTAGATCTGTGGCTATAGTAAGAAAAAATAATAAAAAAAAATACAATGATTTTAAGTTACAATATTTTTAAAATTTTGAGTGTCCGAACATTTATGTGTTAGGGCTCGTAGCATTTGTAAAAAGTTTTGGTGTGGTACCAGTCACACAAGGTGTGGTACTATTTAAGATTCCATGGCCAAGTGTGGTGCGGGGTAAAATTAGCAAAGGGAACAATGAAAATTACCATAAAATATGTCCCCCTTGGTAGTCATGTGATTGTAATGAACAGGTAGTCCGAGAGCTGGTAGTCATTTTTGGGTAGGTATTTGAGGCACGCTGAAAACTTGTCCAATACTTCTCCAATAATACCCAAACACAGAAATGCAGACCTGGCTGGAGAGAAGCGGGGCTAAATCAGCCCTTATTTTTCTGCTTATGAAATATTAAATTTATAAGTAATAAAAATTTCAAAGTGCCTCAAGATCATTTTTTGAAAAAAATTCCTATCTTTAAAAATATAAAGGGTTGATTTAGCCCCGCTTCTCCCCAGCCACGGCTGCATTTCTGTGTTTGGGTATTATTAGAGAAGTATTGAACAAGTTTTCAGCGTGCCTCAAATACCTACCCAAAAATGTCTATCAGCTCTCCTATTAAGGGTACCTACTACAGTTAAGAAATTATTTTGTACTACAATAGTAACTCGATAACCCAATGATGCAAAATTGTTTTTTCTACTCCCATCTCTCTGTGTCATCAGATACACATTGGGGCCCGTTTGGGTGTTTTCGGCCATTAAACACGCCCGAAGTTACATTAAACACGGCTTGAATTTTGTTGACTAAATCAAGTTGGTAGTTGGCGAATCCCCGTTTCACAAAAATTGGACACAGAGAAAGATAATGGAGAGAAAAATATTATTGCTGCTCCTTCTGAACTAATGCAAGTGGCAACAGAATTCTCGTAGAAAAAGTATAGTATGTATAACACATTTTATAAACTTCTCTAGACACAATTGTTATTAAACAATCGTGTATCGTGTCTAAAGTGTTGTTGTAAAAACTTGATACATAAGTAAATCACAATATTTCTAGGTTTGTCATGTGTTCATTCTCCATTCATGTTTTTAAATTATAATAATTTTAAAATCTTTGAAATCAGTTCACTTAAAATGATATTTAATTTTAAACTGTTGTACAGAATTGTTAGATTTATCTACCACTCACTGGGAGCCACACGTACAAACCTTAATCGGGAGTCTCAAAAATATTACACTGCCTTCCTTTGTAAACCTAACTCGCCACCAACCTAGGTATAGTTACTAACGGGCGATCAAGAATGAGTGACTGTCGAGTCGCCTTTGAAAGTTCAAGTTAAGTAGGATTTCCCATGTAAACAAAAATTCCAAAAGTGACTAGACGGTCACTCATTTTTGATCGCTATGTATAATAGTAGGTATGTGAACGATCGCTAAAATAATCTTTCCCCATCTTCGTCACGTTACCTACAATTTACATCAATATAGGGATATGTACACCTAATCCGTGTTTTAACACGAATGAAACATAAGTAGTCGAAAAGTTTCTGAGAAAAGCTAGTGTAAAATTAAATTTGCTTTGGTAACATATTTTTGTATCTTATAATGAAATTATGATTAGGTAGATTAACACAGGTAGGTACCTACAGTAAAGAAAATACAGTAAGTAACGCTGACAAAATGTTATGAAGTCTTTTACAGCCATTCTACCCTAGTAGGTACGAAAGCAGAAACATTGAAAATTGATTCGACATTTTCGAAATAAATTGTATTTACCTGCGTAGGTACTTTACCTGTTCGGCAACAGCTCGAAATAAACATGTTTCATCGTAGGCAACATTCTTCCTGTAAAATCCTAAGGAATCTAGCCAAGAATCTATAGCTCCGGGATTTTTTCCTCGTTTACTAAATTTGTTGGCCATTGCTAAAAGACCGAAAATTAGGAACAGGTAGGTACGCTTTTTGATAAGATCACAATTACACAAATAAATAGAAGTCATTATAATACACGCAGCGTGTATTATAACATCAAAAATTATAACACATAACTTACCTACAAGTTCACAACAACGATTCGATTCGACAGAATACTCAGAGAAGAATAACACTCAAAGCATAGACAGCGATACTAAAAGACCAGCACATGGCAAATACACTTACGTATTTTCCTTTAAAATTTGCCTTTGCCTGTGTCTGCTTAGACAGATAAAAACGCGCCGAGTACAAAATTATTATCATGCGCATGTGTTTCGTTCCTTTCGTAATAATTCGGTATGGGATATCTACCTACTCCTTATTTAAAAATTTTCATAATGAGATCTTTTATCGCTTAATTTACGCTTCGAGATCTAACAAAAATCAAAATCACAACCAGTTGAGGTACTCATTAATTACCTACTCACAGACCATCAACGGGAGGTACTGGCAAAAGCGCAAATGTGCGCACAAAGCAACATTAAATCCTTGGAATACAATTCGATGTAAGAGATTTTAAATAAACCACCTTTTTAAATCGAGTTCATTAATTAGTCCCATCGAAATCGAAATAGAGGTGACTGATTCATTCTTTGTGGGTAATGAAAATACAAAGAAACCATTATATTATCAATTATCACGAATGTATAGGATACGAGGTACACTCAGTTTACACTACTTAGCGCAGTAGGTAGTGCATTTTTCTTGTTATATTTTTATCATGAAACAAGCGTACGGATTATTTGCAGATTTGTTCTGTCCTTTTGTTAAATTAAAAAAAAACCTGCTATCAGCAATTCATCCGTTCATTCAGTACCCACTGGAAGTATTAAAATTGATTCGTTTGTACCCTAGTTTTTCCCAGTTTCCCTTATCAAGACCAATAGGCAATAAGTCAATTTTGATTTTAAGGTTCATTCGCAAAATTACTGTAAAAAGAGTAAATAGGTATAGTCAGAGGCTTAGAGTGAAGCGGCTTGCGTGAAGGTAGCCAGTACTACTTGCAGATGTGTTGCATATTGACTCCCTCGGACTGCGCAAACGCAAGCGCGCTAAAATTTGAATTTGCTTTAACGCACTCGAATTAATAAAGCGTTCGGTCATCACTGTGAATTCCAGTTACATTATAGTCCCAACTTGAAAGCAACCGGTATGATCCTTTACGTTTACACTTTACAGCATAATATTAAACAATTGTAAGAATTGTGACGTTATTATTTATTATAATCAAAACCCTTCTACCATCATGGTGTACGGAAAATAAATTAACATATTCTACCAGATAAGTCACTATAAACTAAGCTATAAACTATTGTGCTCCATTTTTTCCTATCTCGCGTTAACTTCTTAAGGCGCAGATAGACTAGCAAGTTACTTGCGACAATCTCGCGGGAGAAACTTCCACATGTATTTACACTGTGAGAAATAAAGTGTCGGGCAAGTTGGGTGAGCCATTGCTGCCGCAAGTTCTCACAAAACTGTTTACACTAGCAGCACTTTTAGCTTCCGCAAATGCTGTCAGTTGATACCATGGTGTATTATACACCATGGTTGATACGTAGCAGCTGTTTTCGAGAATTATCTCACGTTATGGCGTCAATAAGACATCTTTGTGTTGCCGCAGCTGTAGATTTATGCAATAATGTGAAACACAAAAGAAGTGTTGGGCGAGAGAATGGATTTCAAGAAGAGAAAAGTATGGGGCCTACAATAAATTAATTGATGTGCTGATAATGGAGAATCAATCCCAAAATTTAAAAATTTTATTCGTATGTCAGCGGTAGACCTTCGGTACTGTTATTACAAAATTAAAAGCAGGATACTCATTTATGTGCCACAATATAATAAAACTCGCAGCGTTTACTCGCCAAAATATCGAAACGAAATGGAAAGTTTGCGAGAACTTGGTGAGCTGCACTTTTGCCTGTTTAGACTGGCAAGAAAAGTGTCGCAAGAATTCTTCCGCGAGTTCTGTCAAATGGACTCGCAATGCTATTTACACAAGACAGTATAGTAGTGTCCGACAGTAAATCACGCGAGCTTTCTTTCTAGTCTAAAGACGCCTTTAGCCTGCTTTCATTCTATGCCTTGAACTTGAAGTATTCTTGCTACTTAGGTACCTGCATATTCCATGTTGCCTTTATGCTTCCCCTTTTCTTCCTATTTTGAATTCCGGTGTTCCAAATGTGTTTCGCAAGCCGACTGTTCCCCATTCTTCCAAGGCGTCCAAATAAGCTATAATGTTTGTCTATCAAAGGTCTCTATCAGAGTATCCACTTCTTTTTTTATCTTCTTACTAGGAATTCTACCAACTCCCCTTACCCTTCGCAAGTACTTGATTTCTGTAGCGTGTAGTCTGGTTTTTTGTGATTCGTTCAGCACCCAACTCGCTCTCTCTACCGTAGGTCAATATTGCTCTGTAACGTTAATGTTGTAAGTAGATTTCATTCACTAGTTCTAATTAACTGTTACAGTACTTACCGAAATAGTTTCTTTCTATCGCCTTTGGCAATGGCATATTCTAGGAATTCATAGCCATGTACTTGAAATGTAGATAACAACAAAATTCATCTTATAACATGGCATTAACATATACCTACTACACCTACTTATAATACGTAAGCAGGTATGAGGTAAGCTAAATTATCTTCAATTATAACGTTTGCAGGTTATGTGTATTATTTACCTCTTACACTTTTAGACAGTTGTACGCAAATTCAAATTTTAGCGCGCTTGCGTTTGCGCAGTACCGAGGGAGTCAATATGCAACACATCTGCAAGTGCCAGTACTAGTACCTACACGATAGCCAGTAGGTACGCGCCAGTACATACGTACTCTATAGTACCGTTTGAGTAGGTACTATCATTGAACTTATTCAATGGTACTATCTTAAAACGATAGCAAAAATTTAGTACCTATGAAGGACGCCGATATTTTGATGAACTGGATGACGGGACTTGGAAGCTAGCCATTATACACTGGATATAGATAACCCGCACATTAATATACAAGGTACTATTTAGTACTTCTTTGCCCTTTGGGTACTGAATAGTGAATACATACACAATCAGTTTCTTGGCACCTTTAAGAGTTGCCTTGTACTGGCTACTGTCCAAATGCCGTTAGCCAATACACGAGAAATTGATAACTAGGATATAAACAAACAACAGTACCATTTTTAGTACTGTTTAAGGATTGATTAAATATAAAATCAGTTTTCTGATACCATTAGGAATTAGGATTACACTAGTACTGGCTACCTCTTCCAAATCTCGATAGCCAATACAGTTTGTACAGTGGGTATTGATGTACGGCACATAATAAGATAAATAATATAAATAAATATAATAAGAAAAATAAAAAATAAAACGGTTCATTATGCCGATGATACATCATGTATTCTAAAAAGTGATCATTTAGCAGCACTATGCTCTGAGATCAATCTTTGTAAGTAATATCAGTGGGCAGCAGCCAACAATCTAGTACTTAACCACTTGAAAAAAAAGTTAGTACTGTAACGTTATTTATAAAATTCGGGTTCGATTTATATCAATATTTATTAAACAAAACTAAAACACTATAAAATCCGTACAATTTATATCGATTATTTATATCACTCACACTTCGAAATTTATATCAGCTTTTCGCGCTCTATGTTTCGTCCGTACTCGATCTCGTTCGATAGTAGACTAACTCCCGCGATGTTCGGTCCGCAACCATTTATACACGCAAGCAATGTAAGTCCCGAACATTCTCGAATACGCGTAGAAAATTCCAGAGCGCCAAAGGCGACGTCATGTCTGGAGCATTTCCGTTACACTGCCCCCTTCTTAATTCTGGACGTCTCGTTCAGAAACTGCGTTAATATTACTTTTTAATGCCTCGTGTCGGAATCTGCAATCAGAGCCTGCTCGACAAACACCTTTCTTGAAAAAGTAACAGTCCACAGTTTTGCGGAGGGTCGTCCCCTGTGGGTTGAAGCAGCATACTGTAATTCGAACGCTAGTGTTTCTAAAAATCACTTCGATCATGGTTCGCACTATCTTCCAGTCCAAGCCATCTAAACCACATCCAATCTTCGGGATCGCCAAGCTATTTATGTCATAGTATGCCATGAGTTTCTTTAAGCTTTTTAAAGCAGACCAGAGGTTTTCATAGGTGGGTTTGCCTTCTGACGTTTTCTTCGAAACCAAGTAGAACAAAGAGCGTTGACTATCTTCCAAGCGCAGTACTTTACCCACTCGTGGTCTTTGCTTTATCAATTCGTCTATTCTTCCAAATCTTTTCCGGAATACGGAAGCTATACCTCTACCCATGCGAAGGTCTTCGGCGACACAATGGCCGATGGAAACGTTAACCGGAAGCTCAAAAATATCTTGACAAATTTCCTGAGTAACGCCAAAGCGAGCTTTCTTCCGCTGGGCGTAATTTGACATAAAATCGTTAAAGTTTGGCTCGATCCCAAAGCTGCGTTCCTCTTCTCGAATACCTCTAACTTCTTCGTTGTTGTTGGATCCGGCATATCGTGCGAGTCGATTAATGTGGACAACTTTCGGTTTCCGGTGGTTCATTCTGATACGATATATCACGTCATTTATTTTCTTGATCACCTCATACGGACCTTCCCATTGTCTTTGTAGCTTGGGAGAAAGACCTCTTCGCCTCTGTGGATTGTGCAGCCATACCAGATCTCCAGCTTCAAAAGTTTCATTGGCCGAGCGGAGGTTGTATTGATTTTTCATGCGATCGCTGGCAATCTGAATATGACTTCTAGCCAAGTCGTGAATGTCGTTCATCTTCGCCTTTAGTTGGTCAACATAATTTTCACCTGCGACATATTCTTCATGGGGTTTACGCCCAAACTCGAGGTCACATGGAAGGCGTAGTTCACGACCCAACATAAGGCAGGCAGGAGTCTGACCCGTGGTCTCGTTGACGGCTGATCGATATGCCATAAGGAACAGGTGGAGGTACTGGTCCCAATTTTTCTGATGTTCTGCCACGACTTTTGAAAGATATTTACCCATCGTTCGATTCATTCTCTCAACCATTCCATCTGACTGAGGATGCAAAGGTGTTGTTCTGGTTTTATTGGCTCCTACCAATCGACAAACATCTTGGAACAAAGCCGATTCAAAGTTCCTTCCTTGATCTGAATGGATTTCTATAGGAACACCAAAACGTGAAAAGAACTCCTTTACCAACACTTCTGCAACTGTTGCTGCCTCTTGGTTTGGAATGGCGT